TTGATTAGTTTCTACTCCGTCTACAGTCAAATATTTTATTAATTTTTGTTTTAAATATTTACATTTCATTACATTATTCGTTGTTTATATACTAGGAATAATTACATGTTCTTAAAAAAAGTTCTAAAATTATCATGTTTTGCACGGAATTGATTATATTTTTAAATAACTACTACGTTTCATATTGTGGTAAATATCCTTGTCTGCTGAACCAATTATTTTTGTAGTTGAACTTTTAAAGAATACCAAACACATCAAAAGTAATGAACCTAACTTGTTTTAATATTTGTTTCCTCTTCTTCGTCATCATAATTGGTTATAATTATTATTTATATTTACGATATTAATAACCATGTAATCGATGAAAACATAAAAAGGTAGTTCGTAAAAAAATGTATCGGTCCTGTAAGACAAATTATAAATAAGAAAAAGGTCTAATCAAGAATAAAGTTTTAGAAAAAACATGATTTAAGTTACACGAAGTTATTTAAGTTATGAAAACAATGTTTCTTAGAATCCTTATATCATTAAGAACATATCATTGCTGTCTCTCGATATTGTACCAGTTATGTTCTTCATACAGTGCGTTCGTAAGTTAAATAAAGATATTATATAATTTTATATTGTATGTTTATAGCTACGGAACGTCTGAACCCAAATCAATAATGTGTGTAATATATTTTTGAACAAAATTTCACAGAAGTTTTATTATAAAGTTTCTGTATTCGTGTTACAAGGCATTTATTAATACGAACCAAACTTACTTAGTTTATTTATTTGAAATTAATGTTACAGTTTGTATATTAGTTTTAAACATTTCTGGGATAACACATTATTCAAATTCTAACTATAAACTAAATTTCTCATTTTACCCAGTTGGTTCAGAGATGTCCATATAATTACATCCACATATAATAATATGTCCGTCCTTAATGATAAATGACCAACGTAACCCACTTTGTCTGTGTCCAACATATTTATATTTTTCAGTAAGGGATAATAATTTATGTTTTTCATCTTTAGATACTCCGAAACGTTGATCCTATGCTTGTTTAGATATTTGGGGGTTAAATAACTAGAATAAAAAAACAAACAAACGTTTGAATAACAACAAAATAAGGAAATCGCTACATGAGAAATCGAGTGAACATCCAATGTTGTAAAAATTTGAATTTCAAACGCTGATAAAAATTTAATTTGACTGTCCGGTAGAGATTTTTTATTGATAAAGGTAGACAAACTAATGAGTAATCTTGTATTAGATTTTCAAATCTTAGATTTAAAAAGAAAAAATTTTACGAATTCTTAACTCAAAATAATTTTCTAATTTTCGTGATTTTTCCATATTTTGTCAATTTTTGAACATTAAATGCTTATAAAAAAAAACTGTGACTAACGATTTTTAATATTTTTCATATGCCTTTGAAACAATATACTAGGAACCTTCTATAAAATTTTCAAGTTTTTTTAACCAACAAATAAAATTTTATTGATATTTCTAGAAAAAAAACTAAAAAATATTGAAAGCGGTAAATGTCCGTAAATAGCTCAAAAAGAGTCAAAATATTTTCAAAATTGTATGGTGTATAGAAAATGCTAATTTAAACATTCAGTGAAATTTTCATGTATCTACAATTATTCGTTTTTGAATTACAACAAAATAAGGAAATCGCTACATGAAAAATCGAGTGAATATCCAATGTTGTAAAAATTTGAATTTCAAACGCTCATAAAAATTTAATTTGACTTTCTTATAGACATTTTTTTTTTGATAAAAGTAGCTAATCTTATAAGGAATCTTGTATTATATTTTCAAATCTTATATTTAAAAAAGAAAATTTTTTACGAATTCTTAACTCAAAGTAATTTGCTAATTTTCGTGATTTTTCCATATTTTGTCATTTAAAACGGGTTTAAATATTTTGTACATTTTATCAAACATGGGAATTGAGAAGATGTTATTTGGTGTACATTTCAAGTATCTACAGTTATTCGTGTTTAAATTACAACAAAATAAGAAAATCGCTTTTTTAACAACATTTTAACTTTAAATGCTTCTAAGAAAAAATTGTGACTGTATTTTTAATATATTTTAACTGATCTTGTAACAATATATAATATTAAATGTTCAAGCTTTAAAATTTTGTTGACATTATAGAAAAAAACTTGAAAATTGAAAACTAAAAATGACCGTAGGTAAACCATTCAGAACAAGTCAAATTGTTTTGAACATACGTATGAGGAACAAAGAATTAAGTATTTAAGCTTTCTGACTAAACAGTAACATCATTATTAACATTTATAGAAAATCAACTAAAAAAAAAAAAATCAAAACATCTATAAATCTCCTAATACGAGTCGAAATATTTTGAATATTTTATCATGTATATAAAATTATGAAATAATCATTTGCTACAAATTTCAAGTACATTTTTAATGTGTACACACTACAAAATTCCACAAAGAAACTAAAAAATATAATTTAAATAGTAGATTATAGATATAATTTAAGTATACCTTATTATTTTTATTTTAAAATTTTTAGTATAAATTATGAAAAAACATTCTTATCAAATAGGTATTCAAAATAACAAAAATATTTAAAACAATACACGTGCCATCATAATTTACACAAAAATTTGTTCATATTACTATTAACAATGAGTACTACTGTAAGCTGATTAATGATAATGATGTGGTCTATCGACAACTACTACACCATAAATTTGTCCTCCATTTCTTGACAATCTTTCCAAGGTCCAAGTATTGGTGTTAGGGTTGTAAATTTCAAAAGTATCAACACTAGGTTTTCTGTCTCCGCCAAAAACATACAATAAACCATCTAATACGGCTACTCCTATAAGATAATGTATTTTAAATTCAATATATTTTTACAAAGGTCATCCTAAAAAATATAATTGTCATAGTCACTACTCACCAGTGAAACATCGGCATAAATTCATATCAGCTATAGAAGACCAAACTCCATCACTTGGTCTATAAACCTCAACACTATTAAGAATCTTTCCATTAAAGCCACCAATTGCGTACATAAGACCATCCAAAACCCCTACACTAACACCATAACGACACTCAGTCATTTCTGCAACTGGAGTCCATATGTCAAGTGTGGGATCATAATATTCAACAGATTTCAAATATTTACCATTATAACCTCCAACCTACACAATTTAATTAAAGAAAATGTAAAATAAATAAATAAATAATAATATGATATATTTATTCACAGCGTATAGATGATTATTGAGTACACCAACACCAAATGAACGTCTCTCAATTGTCATACTAGACACTATTCTCCATTTTTGGGTAATGACATCACATACCTCTACACTTTTTAAAAAACTGTCACCGTCACTTCCGCCAACCTAGAATTACAAATAATATACATTTTTAATATAAAATAAGTAAAATATTGATTTAACTTACTGCATATATACAATCATCCAATACACCAACTCCCAAACAAATTCTACTAACTAACATGTCAGCCATTGGAACCCATGATGGTGATTGTAAAGATACGTCAAGCATAGTAACAGATTTAGAACTCGATCCATTTACACCTCCCACAGCAAACACAAATTGATCATTTATCACACCAAAACCAGCAAACATCCGACCTTCATTTATTCCTGGTGCTTTCTCACAAAGTTTGGTTGCTGGGTCATACCATTCAGTATAACACTTTGGCGATGTTTTAGAGATACTGAACATTAGAAGAACCTAATATAATTAAATCGACAAAATAATTGTGAAGATAAATTAATCAATTTAGAATCATACTTTTTGAAAACCATCAAACTGTCTAGGTTTAAACCTAATTGTTTTTGGAATGGTGAAATGCTGAACTGATTTTTGATGATTAAAATGGAATGCTTCGATTATATAATCTTTACCTAAAAAAATTATAATAATCATTCATAAAATGTATAAATCCATAATGAAGGCATATTTATGAAAATAACATACATTTATGACAATTTTTTAGAAGAGGTTCTTCAGATATATTAAATAACATATCCGGCTTTAGTAATGGTAAACGTACATGTTCCATTAGTTTTGGCAAAAAATCTATTCTATGATCTGAATCATGTTTTACCCATTTGATAACACATTCAAATACCTACAATAAAAAATATTTAAAACTAGATTTAAGATATAATGATAGTTTTTTCAACCATTCAATAGTGTATAATTATTACAGGATCCCAAAAATATAATAGATCTTTAAGATTATGTGTTCCTACTGTTTATATTAAGCAAAGGAATTATTTCCATAATTAATTCACAGGCTAACAATTGTTTTTTTGCAGATGACTCATGACTATTCAAAAACAATTACACTAGGTAAATTAAAACCTCTTCTAGTTAGTTCAATATTATAATAAAACATGTAGGTACTATAGACTTGCAAGGGCCGTAAATTTGCGGCCCGGTCCGGTCCGGTCCATCAATTTTATCCTCAGGCCCGGTCCGGCAAGGTCCAAAAAATATTGTGAAAAAAAAATATCATATTATTATGGTATATATAAATAGCTTTATTATACCCACCAATCGATATATTATTATATTCATTGTGATTGTATCTACTATCCATAGAGTATACTCTATATGTATATATCTGTACCAACGTCGGTTTTTATCATTATTATTTATTATTTTAAATTGTGATTATTTATTGTCGAAGAAAAATCCTTAAAAAGCCCAGTCCAACCGTTGATTTATTATTCGAAGTCTATCCCGGCCCGGCCCAAAAAATTGTACAAAAAAAAGCCCAGGCCCGGTCGGGAATAAAATTCCAACTTAAAAAGCCCGGTCCAACCCTTTATTTTATTTCAAAGGCCCGGCCCGGTCCAATGTAACTATGGGCCGGGCTTTTTAAGGACCTGGTCGGGCCTTCCCGGCCCTTGCAGGTCTTTAGTAGGTACATGTTAGCTCTTTGTGTCGAGTTGATCTCCATGTTACAATAAATATTACTAATATTGCAGTTTGTTTACTTTTTCTTCGTATGGAACAATAAGGTCATTACAGGAGATAATCTTTACCACATCATCAGAAGATAAAGATAGAAAATCATCACTTTTAACCACTTCTCTGAAAATAATTGTCATTATATTATATATTATGCACTATTGAGAAATATAGAGAATTAAGTTAATGAAATTATATCTTACAAAAAATGTTTTTTAATGAACGCTTCACAACTTGATAACAATTCCGTACAGTTCTGTAAGTCAGCAAACGCTCTGATATCAATACAATTTAATGGATCCAGTTGTTTTTGTAAAAACTCAACACATGCGTCATTTACAAAATCTAATTGTAAGAGGCTTGCGGCTGGTAACAAGACCTGGAGAAATCAACATTCAACAATAATACATTTAAAGTAATTTTGTTTTATTGTCTGTAACAAATCACATTTTTAATTAGGTATACCTGTACATTTTCTTTTGTGACGATAATTTCACCCGTATAAATATAATCTAATAATAGTTGTAAGACAGTGGAATCTAATTTTCTTAAATTGACGGTGTTATTGCCGGTTTTTCCAATTTTCCGCGTTTCTATGAAATTTGAAAATTATATTTCATATTTTAGTTGCTATCTTCATTATTTAATATGAATTAACCCTAATATATGTTTATTCATAATCATGCTCATTTATGATGTAAATAAAATGTGGCCGACGTTAGTATGGACTACGGCGCCACTGATTAATACAGTGTATTATATCAAAAAAAATTAACGAATTCTGTCTATTCTACAGTGTATGAAGTATGAACAATGAGAGTTTTTCTTGTAAGAAAATTTGAAATATTAACATGTATAAAAATAATTACTGAACATTGCACGGAAATATGGACTAGCTGCCATTAAAACATTTTTATGGCCAAACGTTGTACATCCATCGTCTGTTTCAAATCTAATATCACATAAAACTTCATTTCTAAAAACAAAAATTTGTTACTAATATTTATTTTTAATAAAGCTAAAATCACCTTTAACATACTTGCGTAGAGATTGCAAATCTTCTAGTATTCTGACAGAGTGAGAGTTATTTCTAAAATTGGTTGGTTCACATTCTTTGGATGTCAGAACTTGTTTTGGATCACTTTCACTCGATGAATTATGTAAGGCATCCATTTCTTTCACCGACATAACACCTTTGAAATTATTTTAAAAATTGTAATACATTTTTATATCATCGTTCATCATAAGACCTAATAATACATTTTAGTATAGAACCTGTGTAAAGACCAACAAAGTATACCTACTTTTGTTAAAAAAATTACTAAGATATAATGGATAACTTCAAGTAGGTATAAATAAGTGTTGAAATAAATATTAAGGAATTGTTATTTATGTTCATTGTTATTAGATTGTAGATTAAATGTGCATAATGACAGGTGTAGTGTACTTTCATTTATTTAGTTTAAGTATATATCTGTTGCAGACTGCAGCGGATAGGTGATAATATCAAAAACAAATACAAGGAATTTTATTTTTTGTATTATTAAGTGATCTTTACAATATCACTTGTATCAATTTTTTCTTGGTAGTTATGTACTCATCTGCGGTGTCACAACAAAAATATATTTAAATAATAATAAAAATTAAAATTACAATGTAATATTGATTCTATAAAACTAAATTAGATTTAAAGAATTTATAGATTATAATTATTTCAATTTATAGAATTTATTTCTTACTTATTTGTAGTAGGTAGGTAATTTAATTGAATTCAGCGCGGTAACGAGTAATAGGCAATACTGCAGGGCAATACGTATGGTACTTATTGAAATATGAGCCTATATAATCATTAATCGATGTATTTAATCAATATATTAAAATATATAAAAATTTAAATTGAAATTAGAAAATTCCTACCTATCTGGCTATCTGATGCCGAATATCGATGCGTAGTGCACACCGACTTTATTGATGACTGTGGCGGTGTGGCGTCTCTCGTCTTGTTGTAGACGAGACCGACATTTTCTTCATAGATCCACTTTGATTATTGTAATATGTTATCTTGTTTACGTTGTGATAGATACTTGAACTAATTTTTTCGAATACCACTTATGTTTTTAAGTAGGTTTTATCAGTCATAATACGTACCAATGTAGCATTAATGACAAAATAATTGAACTAGGTACCTATTCGAAATTTAATAATAAAATATAAATGTAATTATAAAATATAAAAATAATATTATCTTAGTTACATTTAAAATTGTTTAATATTTACCAAAAACATCAAATATTAGACGTCTCACAAAGTACATACATTAACTAAAAGTGATTTTGTTGTGAACCCCTGAATAATATTATATTATATTATGTTCACATATAATATAATACTAACAGTATAAGAATAGTGTGTTGGTCGACTCCTCGTCGACAGGAATCCGCTGAGTATAAACGGCGATATAAAAAATAATAATATTTGCGGTCACAAAATAAATAATATATGGCGATTAACGACCTTGATTATACTACATAATTAAGAGCATGATTAGAGCACACCAAAAAAGAATATAACTTTTATATGCGCGAACAAGTGGTGACAGTTATTTGTAAAATTGTGAATTTTTCGTTCATCTTAAAATATTCATTACTTGCTTTAAAATTAAAATATAATATAAAGCCCCAGGAGATTACCTAGATAATACACTTGTCTTTAAATTGTATAAGAGATCAATTCACTCTAATTTTTAAACAAACGGAACTATAATAGGTACCTATAGGCTATAATAAATTAAAAATGAATCATATTACAAGAATCCATTAGGCACTTATAACGAGTTACAATAACAAACCGTGATACTATCATGGATATATAAGTATACTTTAGAAGTTTCAAGTGCCCACGAATAATATTATACAATCACAATAAAATAACTAAAATAGTTACTCTAGGTATTTTAATATGTAATTTCGTACAAATTTGAACTTAAAATGACTATGCAAATAAACTGAGCTTATGTATTTTTTAGATTTTTTGGTAACAGAATTAACTACTTACGTAGAATCTTGTTTTAAATTTTCAATCCTATTAGATATAAAAGTTGAACATTTTATACATTTTAACTACAAAAAAATTATTCAATTTTAAATTTGATACATTTTTTCAAAATTCAATCTTTAAATGAAAAAAAAAAAAAATTGTGCTTATGTATTTTTAATATTTTTCAACTGATATTGTAACAATATATCAGGAGCCTTATATTACATTTTTACACTTTTTGCCCCAACAGATAAAACTTTATTGATATTTATAGTAAAAAAAACTAAAATAATTGAAAACTGAAAACAGACTAACAGCTCAAAAAGTGTCAAAATATTTTCAAAATTGTATGGTGTATAGGAAATGCTAATATAAATATTCAGTGAAATTTTTATGTATCTACAGTTATTCGTTTTTGAATTACAACAAAATAAGGAAATCACTCCATGAGAAATCAAGTGAATATCCAATGTTGTAAAAATTTGAATTTCAAACGCTCATAAAAATTTAATTTGACTTTCTTATAGAAATTTTATTTTTTTTATTTTTTTTAATTATTATGGTGTATAGAAAATGTTCATATAAACATTCAGTCAAAATTTCATGTACGATCATTTCATATTTGTTTAAGAGTCGCACCAAAAACCAAAAACGATTTTCTCGAAAACCGATTTTGGGTAAAAATTCCCGTTTTTCCTTATAATTCCTTAATATTTTAGGTATGCACTGAACGTTATTTGTACCGCCGAAGATAATATTTAGACGTAGAGAAGACCGGTTCTTGAACTGTTGTTACATGCGGCCCTTCAGGGATCCAAAAGCTGATGTACTTTGATAAATAATAATAGTCAAATTAGTTTGGTAATCAAATGTATTATATTAAACCAGACAAAATAAGCAGAATAGTAGTGTTGATTGTAGCGAATTGTAGCTCGTTCCGAAATTGATAATCTCCGTGTAAGTTGTGTGTGATGGCTGGGCGGCTAAGCGAGTCGTGTGTTGTTCTCGTCTCTGGATACATCTACTCAGGCTGTCTCGCTGTCCCCTATATATATGGTGGCGGCGTCCTTTGAAGTGAGCGGCGCGTGTACAGTCGTCCTTGATATGGACCTCACGACTAAGAGTGGTATTCTTAGTCGAAAACACTTTTGGGTGTGGTCGCATTCCTGGTTGTTTTTATGAGCAAATACATGATATTACGTAATCCCATTACACTGTGGTCCGCGGCAGTTCTATCTAAAATTAAAATGCTACATTTTTATGAAAAATTATGTATAAGAAAAATAATTATAAATATGTAGTCATGTAGGTATGTTAGTATCGTGTATACTTACTTTATATTTGATTTGTAATATCAAACGAGTATTGAAATATTAATTATGATAATATGGGATATTTCGTAAAAAAAGGTAGGTAGGTATTCGAAAAAAAATTGGTGGGAGGTCAGCGATTTTTAAAACTCTTCCATCTGGTGTCTATGTTCACCAAATTTTTAAAAACTGCTGTCGCGGTCGTAGACGATTTAAAGAGTACCTACCTAAATGTCATAATATCTGATAACTCTGTAAGAGTTGATAAAATATGGTGTAATGTTAATGACAGTTATTTACCAACAACATTGTTTATACTTCATTGTATAAACTATACACAGAATTAATTATTTTTAAATTATCAAAATTATCAGAAATTTACTTGGAACCATTGCGCGATAGTTAGAAACGGTACACTTAAGTATTTACTTTAGATTTAATTATTATATTACCTATATCTACTTGTTTGTCATTGTCATTAATTGTCTCCGTCATAGTGTCTCGCACCAATCCTTTCATAAAAAAAACGCACAACAATAAATTATGGCCTAAAGCGCATTCTCGACCAACTCGCTGATTTAGAGATAAAGATGATGCAGTTAATAAACTTGATAAACTTGACAGAGATAAATGTTTTTATCAACAAAGTTGCTCTTATAATTAGATTTAGAAATTGGCTATTTTGAGTTTTTTCAATTTTCAGAAGAAAAAATATTTTTTTTATATTTTACATTTAGTAAGTGTAAGTGTCTATAATATAAATTATTTTTAAATACTGATTAGAACAAAAGTTATTTCATCCGTCAGGTCTTCACTGTTACACTCTGTATTTTAAAAAATGTAATGCATTCTGAAATAAATCATATTTATTTCAGAATGTAATAAAATTGAAAAATACAATGTTCATCACAATTTAGATTTTTTAATATATTATATGTCCATAAATTGCTCAATTTTTTGTAATATTAAAATATTAATATATTTTTTCTTTTAATCTGCACTGTTAAACTATCAGTTATTTATACCCTGTGAATGAATACATTTTAATGTCGTGCATTCAAGAGAGGTTATTTAGTAAACTAAAAATAATTAAAAACAGACTGGATCATCTTTAGAGCAGAATCGTTTGGAAATGTACTTGAAATGTATTAAAAATATGGTAATGTCTATTGAACAAGATATTTTGGAAATTCTATTTAAGATAAATTAGTTTTTTTTTTTAATGAAAGGTAATATGTCTCCCGATATAATTTATTATAAAAAAATACATTCACTTTGCTGGATTTTTTTATATATTCTTTTCAAAAATGTGACCCTATTCATATTCATTATATGAATAGGGTCACAGGATCATTTTGCTCTAAAAATGTATTCACACTGTCTATGGGGTGAATAGGGTCAGTAAAATAAAATTTTATAAATGTTGAGGTATACATACAAAATGTATTGTTCAGAGAAAAATAGTTTAAAAATGAAAAGAAACACAATTTTAAGTTAAATTAACTATCAGTAAAATCCAATAAAAAAACAAAATCCTGCAAAAACAAAAATAAAATACGTGCTTTACCCTATTCGTCCCAAGGTTAGGTATGATTCAGTCTTATATTATATAAGCAGACATAAAAAAAAGAAATTCGTAAGTATTACTTGGTAAGCAGTACTGTGGTGTGGAGGTGGGCGTATTGTGAAGTCGAAAATATCAATCATTAATACAAAACAGGCATCAGCGTACTTTCTTTGAAAAAAAAAAATATAATAATCTTACTTTTATCAGAATAGTAATTTTCTACTAAAATTACAGTATACTCCTATTCGAGAAAAAAAAAATAACAAATCTCAGCAAAAAATAGATAGGTAGATGGCATATTGTAATTAATTAATAAATAAAAAGACAATAAATTACTCAAAATATTACGATTATATTATGAATTAGTAAAGAAAAAATGACGTATGTAAAAAGTGTTTACTTTAAATTATAATAGAAAGAACAGGCTATTTACTTGGATGTATATCAAATATCATGTACATTCACTATTTAAAATAAAGACAAATGATTGATATACAAAATATTATTTACAATTTATTAGTATTTAAGTGTCCATATAGCTGATATATTTACATAATTTTTTTATTGTTATTTAAAAAATATACAGCATATACACGTGTAATATATTAGCAACTTTAAACAATGATAATAAAGTATAAAGAAAAATAATTGTTTACAATGTATGTTGACTTTTTTGAAAACTGGAATACATTGTTTGTACCAAAATTGATAAACACAGTGCTTCCACAAAAAAAATCCTCTTACCCGATGAGTTTTAATGACAAATAAACGATATTTCTGATAAACGACGACTGCAGTATTTTCGGACAAATGCACCCGTCGCAAAAAATATAAGTTCAGGGCAGAATGAAGCAGATCGTCCCACCACTTCTATTATAATATTGTATTGTATATTATGTGTAATATGTTTGTATGCCGTTCGGCACGAGTCCAAAGTCGTAGAATTATCGTGTGGGTGCTCGACTCGTAATCGTACAAATCGACTTTTCATCGCCATGCACTCACATCCACCTCCAGCAGCAGCAGCAGTTAAACTCGATCGCGTGCCTTCGTTCAGAGGAAGCAGGTGGCTATGGACTTGAGCCCAAACATCGACAATATGTGATAGTTGCGGTACATAATCCCACCGTCGTCCACCAGCATGGGGTGAAGCTTGAGAGTTAGGATCATCGTAACAGTCAGCGTGATAGTGATGACCGCGCGGTTAGGTATGGATCGGGTGTTGGCCAAGAACATCTCGCAGTTGATGGTGGATAGCAGCCAGCCATGAGTCATGACCGACAACCCGCCGACGGCACCCACGCACGGACACCCGTAATCGGTTACGTCGTATGCGGTGCACCTGTCCGCGACAGCTTGTATGCTTGGACGGCCACGTGCATCTCTGCGAACGTGATGGACACAAACTATAAGAGTGAAGTGACGCTGGCTGTCACCCTGAACACGGACAGGCCCTGTACGACTATGAGCGCTTTAAGTCTTACCCAGTCGCTGACCGGCTTGGTGAAGGACGCGTTGAAATTTCCTTGCATAATATGCATTCGACCATGGCGTAAATCTCATTGTCTACCGTACTGCCGGTGTCTACGCCGCTCAACCAGACCAGCACCCGTTTGGCGTCCGCTAGCCAGTTCTTCATAACGTACAAGTGAGTGGACTCGGGTGTGGTAGCGAACAGTGCGCAGAACGCCACCGGGTCCGCCATCGCGGAATTCGTGAGCTGCGTATAATCCGGATACATGCCAGCCGCACACAGGTACACTGTGGTTAGCCACCTGGAATGCACTTAATGAAAACCGATTCTTCAAGATGTTGGTTATCCTAAAAAATATATTATAATTATTTAAAATCGTTTTTTTCTTTTTTTATCATAAAAAACTAACTTGGCCATCCGGTAAATTTGACGGTGTCCACCTCAATCGATCTGGGTCGATATGAATTTGTTTTAATTCAATTTTCTTCTTTATGTGGGAATCTACAACATTCCAGTCTATGCATATGGTCATTTCTTTAAAGATTTCCACAACCATGTGTAGAGATTTGAACGTGTCTATAATATCTTGTCTCATTAAACCTAAATTAAAATTGTTATTAATATTATGATTGTCAAAATTCTGATTAAAAAGTTTCAAATAAAATGTTTTTAAATTACCAGTTTCACTGCTAACATCATTGATGCATATGTTGTCAATGCCTCTGTGTTTATCTAAATATTCTAGAATAACACCTTTCCAATATGCATCGTACGTAATTTTTCCCAAGCCGGAAAGGGGTGTTTCCGGGGTTCCCGGTTGTCTTTCGATTCTTGATAGAAGGTAACCTGAAAAAATAAACTAAACATGATATATGCTAAAACGCCTAGGTCCATATAGTTTTCACTTACTGAATTCGATGAGAATTCGTCCATACCCTTGTCTTCGATACTGTGGCATGATAACGATACAAGCAACATTAAAATTTTCTTCATTTTGTTTTAGTTTTGAAAAATAACCAACAAAATGACATCCCTTAACATTTTTAATTGAATATTATTACAATATAATTATGGTAGACAAATATAAAAAAAAAATAAAAAGTGAATTACCGTCTTGCGACGGTAGACAGAATATTGAATACTTCTACTAATAAATTTGGACTATTGACTTGTATTAAAATTTAAAGTTATATAATGGGTGGACTTCTAATTGGGCTCAGACACACACAAAAACACACATACACATAAATATATATATATTAATGTATGGACTTAAGATAATTTGGATTGACAGCGTTACATATTTTGTTATAGTATCGCTCAATGATTCTTTAAGCGTTTAGTTACATGATTCGAGCGAAGGGCAGACCCTGCCAAGATTGGTTTTCAGTTCGAAAGTTACAATTTAAAATGTATTTATTTAGGTACACTTACAAAACCGTCGTTTTTCGTCACAATATAAAATAAGAACGGTTCAACGCCAAAGTCCAGAGTTTTTAGGTCCAAAAATAATTTCCCCAATCGACATAGTGTTTGGCAATAAGTTTTGTCTACTTTTCCATCAACCTGTTTGAAAAAATAAATAAAAAATTGTGTAGGTAGTTTATCTCTAGTGAATTGTTTCATAAAATTAATTTACTTCAAAAACGCTTAAATCTCCACTTTGGTAGATCTCTGTGCCTGGTGGTGTTCTCCAATTACAGTGTCGCATATGTCTTTCCAAAATCGATTGACATTTAGTGTATTTTAAACAAAATTCACAAAATATTAATCTCGGAGAATCCTCCTCTTGCGGGAATGGGCATGAATAACATGTCTCCACTTCAAATTTTCCAAACTTTATTACACCAGGACATCGTACTGGAGTTTGAATTGTACTCTACAAATGTACATTATAGAAATATAAGACTTCATGTAATATTAAAATAAAATAAATAATTTTAATTTTACATTCTTTTCCGTTGTTCTAGTCCGCTTACATATTTTGATATCCCCGTTCACAACCCCAGATGGTAAGTCTGATGCAACGGGTCGGATCATATTTTCCAGAACTGAAAATTGTATTTCATATTTATAACTAACTACTGAGACTGGTTAATAAGCCAAAAAAATTAAGTACAGCATTAATAGTCACTAATATAAATTGTTAAAGTACATGGAAGAACACATATTAATACTGTTAAAAAATACAGCATAAATAAGTAATCTCGCTTAATAATAATATTATATGCTTATTTATCCTGTAATTTGATGAACAATTTCCAGAACTATACGTTGTTTAACCAGTCCTAATGTCCTATGGAGTTTGTCTTAAACGGATTAATAATACTAGTAATATTAATATTACCTAGTAATAAAATAGGATGAAAACATTAAAATCTGTTTGATATATGCTCTCGACAAATAAATGTAAAATTGTGGTATGATATATTATGGGTACTTGGTATCTATACATACTATGTTTGATTAATATACTCAAAAAAGAACACAAAATATTTAAACATGCAACATGCAATGGATCAAAATTAAACACACCAGATCATATCCCGTTCACACTTAGTGCATTAAGTGCAGCACTTTGCTTAAATAATTTTGATTTCTCCTTGGAGATAGCAGTGTCCCACCGGCCCACCGAACACTACCTCTAATTGGACGATGTATTTTGGGGGGAGGGGGTTGCGAGAAGTAAGAAGAGACATTACCATCTTCCGCGACATCACGTTGATTCGTTGAACCCACATTGGATAGTTTTTCATACTTTTTCTATTAAAATTACAATATATTAATATATACATACTGAAAAAAATAACAATTTATCTTTATTACTTTTTTAAGTTTTCTGTCACTGGTCTCAGTCAATACTCTTTTTCTTTTTGTCCCCGAAGCTCTAGGGAGTGAAAGGGGAACATTACCGTCTCCCTTGACATCGAGTACGTATTTCGATCCAGAAATGGGTGGTTTTCCATACTTTCCCTGTAAAAATAATAATACATTAATAAATACTGAATGAAATAATAATTATCCTTTGTTACTTTTTTAATCTTTTTGTCGCTATCGTTAGGCGGTACGTGAGTACGGGGTACGCTCAGACGATAATGACGTATTACACTAGTTACTAAATCCGCTTCAGATTTAACAATAGTTGACTTGTCGTTACTATTTGGTACATTATCGTTCGGCTTGATGTCTAGATATGATATTAACAATGAAGTTATTACCGAGTGAAAGAAGGGCAGTTTTGATTTTAGTAGAATTAACAAAATTTACGCATCAAAATGTACGGACAATAAGAAACAGTGATCGGACCCCATCTATCGTGTATGTATATAATTATTCACACGGAATCAGGCTTGAAACTCTGTCATTGTATAGAACTAATTTTCAATGTTTACAATGGCCATTTTTCTACTTGGACCGTAACATATATATCTATATAACTATTTCTTTCTACGATCGTAACTCCGAAAATTGTAAATTTAATTAAAAAGTCCGTAAATTAAATGTTTTTTTTGTATCTATTCTCAACACTGCGTACACCATGAAAAAATCAATACAAGCATCGCTCTGGTTAGGCTCAAAAAGAGTGAAGCACTGATATCGATTGTATATTTCGTTATTATGTCTTTGGGTCGATGACGTGTATATTACTTACCAATTACATGATGGATATCGAGTGGTGATGTTGAGGTTCGAGACAATTTTCTATTATGATGGTCATCATATTCATAAGATGATCGCTTTCGCTTGTAGTCAGGTAAGGTCTTGTTGGTAGCTACAGCTACGTTCTTGCCGGTATATGCAAGGGCCTTAAATAAGTCCAGATGGATTTTCATTAATATAGTGTCTTCGACTTTCAGACACAATTTTTCTTATACTCCATAATATATAATATTATGTGTACAAGTGTATAGAGAATCATAATTTAAAAATAAAATTTAAGTTTGCATAGTGCATACACAATAAACATCTACGAATTTAGAAGAAAAATTGTGTTGGAAATATTGAAAATCGTAACTACGAGAAAAATTTACCTTTTCAGTAGAAGTAGACGACCCCGCTTTCTCTAGGGTGTTCCTAATGCCATATTTGTATTTAAGTTTTCCATATTCTCCATTGTTGCTGTTTTCCGATGCGTTTGTTTTGTCCATTTTATCAAGTGTGTTTGGTTTTTTGAGGTTCTCCATATGATTCCCACGAGTATGCATAATATAAAAGTCGCACTGCGGCAGTGCAGCGTACCGCAGTGAAGGCTGCCAAAATAGGCTACTGTGGAAGGTTGCCTGGTCTTCCACAGGGTCCTCGTAAACACGTTTCACTGACCTCCGTGCCAAGTACTCCCCCTTTATGAGTTGGGGGTTAAGGGTTTTTTTATCATGGTTTTTCTTCCACTAGGGCATTCGCTCAGCGGGAGCAGGCTGTCTCCGACCTTACCAGCCCTCTCTCCTATCACTTATTCAGAGAAAGGGCCAGCTCAGAATTTTTTATCGTGGTTTTCCTTCCACTAGGGCTTTGCTAGCGCTAGCAGGCTACCTCCAACCTGCCGACCCCAGCTGCTTAAGGCAAGGGCGGCTCTTGAAGCTCCGACTTCAACCGGTTAAGGTCACAGCCGGGTTGGGACCGCTTGGTAAGACCTAATTAAAGGCCCGCAAGCTCCCCCACCACATCAAGGTGGGTCCCGACGGGGGAGATAATGTTATTTATTTGTAAATACGTTACACAAAAACAATTTTCTTTTGATTCATCTGGGATTTCTAAGTTTTCGAGAACAAAAGTTTGAAAGGAAGTTTAAAACATCGGTGGCAGCTGAAATTGTTACGATAATCTATTAATTATTCCTTATAATAGGTATTCAATTAAAATCTATATATTTCCTTGTTATAATGGAAGTATAGTCAATAATTTTATTATACTTATGATGTGCATTAGTGAGTATAAAAGTTAAAGTTGAGTTAAACATTTAGTTTCTTAAAGGTTTTGAGTTTCTGTCGATTTTAATATTAATAAATATATAATTAACTATTCTTTATAGTACTTAAGCCCCACGCTTCACAGAATACGAATCCTGACCCTGGTTGTTACAATACCTGGTTGTGATGAATTTAAAAAAATTAATATGTCCTGAACTAATATTGCCTTTAGGTACCAAAAACAATAATAACGATATTTGAATGAATTAAACTATTAAATTATCGTAAATATAAAAATATTATTATACATGTAGGTGCGTTAAATCGCTAAGTATAATACAATATTCATCAATTTATTTTATGTTCCATTGCAGAAACTATAATGTTTCGTCAGCAAAACAAATAATATTTCCGGACATTTTAAGATTAATTAGACGATATTTTATGTAAATAAGTAATAAAAAAGGAGCCTAAGATGACCGATTCTCGAGTACTGTAATGATATCTGCATCATTTCACCAACACAGCTTCATGATTCAATACCATCATAATACTATTAAATATGTCATTACCAAAATATCACAATAAATATCTGTACCCATGTAGGTACCAATTATAGTATCCAAAATTATACACAACAACAACATTCATACTCACTGTGAAATCAAATGACAATACAATATCTAATAAACAATATCAAAACATAATAAATATCTGTACCCATATACCTACCCTGATATTAATAAAAATATGACCAAAAACAACTAATAAATAATAACCATATTATATATTATATTTGGTTATACCCATGCACTTATTCCAAATAAACAACAACAATTTAATATGGAACATCAAGGTATCAATAAAGGTCAATACTATAAGTAGAACCCCCATTTCGATATTAATTAGATCAGTCTGCTTCCATCAGTTGGGTCGGAGCTCAGTAGCACAGTATCACACACACAGTGTTATTTCCCTACTAAAGTTATACAGTGATTATTAATTTAACGTACTCATTCAAATGTTATATCTTGTTGTGAATTATTAAAATAACTTTTACTCATATCAAAATTGTGCTTATGTCATTTCGAGAAAACTAACATTGTAAAACTCTCATCTTAAAATCTATCATCGTTTAATCAAGTACCTAACATCAACCAGGTAAGTAATTATAATAATACATACTCACACAATTTCAACAATAGAATTATCATCAGCAACAAATTAATAAAGACACGCAGACTCGGGTGTATCATAAATCAACATAACCTTCTTTTATAAATCTATACTCACGAGTCACGATCCCAATCAATCGTAATAACTAATAAATATATGCTTTAATTAATAAAAAAATATTGGAAAAAAAAAGTTGACATTCTAAATCCTTTTAATTATTATTCATTACAATTATAGCTAACTATAGTAACTACACCACCTCAGTTAATATATTATTATGATTTAGAGGGTAAAGTTTTATGAATAACAACGTACATGCTTATTTTTAATTCATCACAGTACTTACATTGAATCGTTAATTAATACAATATTCATCAATTTCTTTTATGTTCAATTGATACTATAATGTATCGTCAGCATAACAATTAATATTTCCTGACATTTTGAGATTAATAATACAATATTTATGTAAATATAACTTATAAGAAATAAAAAGGATCCTAAGACGACTGATCCTTGAGTATACATTTCTTCAGTTTTAACTACTTGCGATCTATTTAAAAGATAATATGATGTAAACACATCTAGATCAATACCACGAATACCGCACAATATTTTAATTTTTTTTTTAATGAAAAGCGTTTTTTAAATCTGAAATAATCTGTAATTACCTAACTTATTACTGTCATTGCCAATACCTACTAGAATAATACAATTTGAAGCTAAAAACGGTGCATATTTTATTGATTTATTTTTCCGAAATCCAAATTGGTTAATAGAAAAAAAGTTATGTATAATATTCAAAAAATCAACCAAACATCATTGTTTTAAACATTTTTCAAATATTTTGGATATGGAACGAGATGGAAAGAGACAGGTCTATAATTAGTACAATGATCACTTTTTAGTGCATATTTTTGCATAATTGGACATTTACCCATTTTTTGCTATTTTAAGGGCTTATTTTACAATTTTAATTGCATAGGTATTTCATCTTTCAGACTTCAGTGCATATTTCGATGGTTTTTTAGACATTTTTGAAATATATACCATTGTAAAATAAGAAAATAATTTTATAGTTTTATTGTTTTGATTAATATCAAAATAAATTAATAGATATTATACTTTTAGGTATAAACGGTTTTATCAAAGATTACCTTAGATCAATAATCATTGAAATATAAAACGTATATCAAAATAAGAAAATATCGATTACGATCATTGACCGTTATTGATATTATTTCAGAAAAAAATTAAGAAAAGTATTAAATTTAGGGTTATATTATTTTAAATATATTGTTTAAATTAAATTTTCAAAAAATACCATTTATTGCTAATTTTTAATTTTCATGCATATTTAAACATTTTGGTGCATACATTTATGCATATTTAAGATTTTGTAGTGCTTATTTTGTTGGTTTTTACTGCATATAAATTGAATTACTGTCGCCGAATTAAATAATTTTGTTGTTATTCTTACCTACTACTTCATGGATATTCGACAGATTTCTAATATAATATGGTCTCATCATCTCCATCATAATGTGATCGCTTTCGCTTGTAGTCCGTTTTGGAAAATACTATATTATTATAAATTATAAAGCGACTTGAAAATCCAAAAAAAAAATTGAATTTTACCTATTATTTATTAGTGTCACACAATCACTGGATATACAGATATAAAATATAATAAAATAGGTACATATTGTTTTTTTAGGTAAACTAAATAGTTATAATATTTGTTTATTATTCAACGTCGATATAGATACGACCGACCTATCAAGTAGTATCCGTGGTATCCGTGGTTTAAATGTTTATTTCTTTTCAGCCAGCTACTGTCACTGAGGTTTATTATTATATTTTTTTACGCAGATTCACGCTTAATATAACAAATATCGCAATATTTTAACTTCACCTAATTACATTTGAATGAATTTTTATGCATTTGCGTTATATTATAGTATATTACTATATTATTACATTGATATATTATAATGTCTTATTATATTCGTTGTACAATAATGATTTAGGGTATAAATATATAATAAGCATATTATTATAAATTACTAATTAGGTTTAGGTTGTGTATACCTCGGTGATTTGAGTGAATATTATTGCATCTGATGCAATCTCCACATCATAATCTATATAAATAAAAATGGAGAGTGAAAAATGGTCGTTAAGTCATTAATGGAGAACGACTGGTCCGATTTGTCTCAAATTTTTTATAAGATATTCGTAATCACCGGGAGAAGGTTAATAAGAAAGAACATTTTAGGTAAATCCACCGGAAAAGTAGGAAATCTGAGTTTATTATAATTTATATTGGTTGCTATTGGTTAATCGGCTATGTTTTTTGATTTGTATTATTGTTTTTTGTCAATATATATAATATATATGAATAAATAAATGTTTGGGTATAGATTAGAACTCTGGGAAGAAGACGGGCTAATTTAAAAATGGTTAAATTTGGTTTTTTTTATTCACCTGATATTATATAGTATGGTTAGGATTTTGTATATTTAACTGATTATATTAATCCACCATAGGTGGAATACGACAAACTTGGTCCAACTTTGATACAATGTAAAATACAAAGATTGCAATCTATTTGAAAAATAATATGAAATAAAAACATCTAGAGCAATACCAATAATACCACATTAATATTTTAATATTTTTTTATGTTAATTATTATTGTCATTGTCAATATCTACTTGAATGAATAAAATTCGAAGCTAATAACAGTGCAAATTTTGTTGATTTATTTTTACAAAATTCAAATTTATTTGTAGTAAAAATGTATGTATTTTCAAAAAATCAATCAAACGTTGTTCTAATCGTTTTTCAAATATTTTGGATTATAGAAAGAGATAGAAGAATATAGCCATATAGGTAGGTCTATAATTTGTACAATGATCAATATCGCCGGATTTACGTATTTCGTTATTAGTCTTACCTATAAGACTTCCTGGATATTCGACAGTTTTCTGATATATGATCATCGGCTCCATCTTAACGTGTTCGCCTTCGGTTGTAGATTATTTTGGAGATACTATATAAATCGACGCGAAATTCCAAAAAGAAAAATTATTAAATAT